GAGATAGGGTGTCACTAAGTTGCCCAGGCTGATCTTGAACGTACCATCCTTCTGCCTCAGCCCTTCCAGTAGCTGGGATTACAGTTGTGCACCAGTGAGCCTGGCTTCTTAAACCCTTACTGGTCAGGCACTGCTCAAGGTGCAAAAAGACATATTTTGTCTTTCAGAATCTTTATGCTAGCCCCTTTTAAAAGACATGATTATGCCCTCTTTTATTGGTACATTGCAATAATGCACAATATTGGGATTCATCATACCATATTTCACACACACATAACAATTTGATTAAGCTTGTTCCCCAGTGCCTTCCCTTTCCCTCTCCTCCCTCCCCGCAATCTGCTTGCTCTACTCTGGTGATTGTCCTTCTCTTCATATTATTGTATTATTATTTTAATTGCTGCATTATAATCACAAATGTAAGCAGATTCATTGTGACTTATGGACACAATTACACCTATTTTATACCTAAATATAATATACATTAACTTCTTGTGATTGGTAAAGAAAACATTTGTCTCTAAATTCAGGCTTTTTTGTTAAACACAGCTGCCCAATATTGTCCCAATCTAGACAAAGTTCCTTTTTGTAGGTATTTTCTAGAAACCAGCTGCCCAGTGTCACAGACAAGGTCGTCCCCTTACTGAATCTGCAAACTAGCTACCGGAGGAAACTGCATTGTCATGAGTCTTCTCTGGACTGACTGTATATGGGGGAATTCACAGAGTCAGGTACCAAGACTTTTACTGTACTGAAACTTGGGAGAAATTTAGTATATCCAAGATGTGCCCTCCTCACACACCATGTATGACACAGCTGCCTCACTCAGCATAGTCTATTTCAACTTTTCTGGGATTGACTAATTTAGCAAGTAGACAATCCTCTCCCCATTAAAAAAAAAAAAGTCAATGGTGGCTGGTGGCTGTTAGTCTATAATCCAGACCACCTGGATCCATAAATGCAACATGGTACACATATTCACAGTGTAGCAGATGCACAGTGAATTGGCTAGACATGTTATGGGTTTGGTTTGGTTTGATTTGGTTTTTCTGCAGTGTTGGGCATGGAACCCAGGACATCACACATACTAGGCAAGTGCTCTACCACTGAGAAACATCTGCAGCGTGGACTTTTGTTTTATATGGTTTGTTTTTGTTTTGTTTTGTTTTATTTTGTTTTGTTGACAGCTTCTGTTCTGACTCGTGGCAGGTAAACATCATAGTTACTTCTTCACAGAGAGAATAGGTAATAAAAGGTGAGGAGCAATGCCATCCGGCTGAATATGCCATGTTGAGCATAAAATGGTGTTGGCCCACCCAGAATGGTTTCTAGCTCTTTCCTGTTCTCTAAACAGTTGTGTAAGATTTTCTGACAAGGAATTACTCTGAGAGAAAGGGGTTTCATTCAAAGGTCTAACATAACTGTTTTCTCAGTTTGTAAAGAGGAATCTACTGCTACTTGGAACATAAAATGTAGAGGAACAAAAATAGGAAGGGGGATCTCGTTAGGATGCTACTGCAGGAATTAGGGGGAAAGAGTGATAATCTGAATTTAGGACATGACAGTAGGAAATAAAAAGAGAAGTGTAGGAGTCACATTTTGGTCACAGAAGCAGCAAGACCTGCCAGTGAATTGGATAATTAAAAGAAACCTTATAATAGGCTCCACTGGTACTGGGAATGCATCTCAGTGGTTGAGCATTTGCCAAGAATGTATAAGGCCCTGGGCTCAATCCCCAGTACTGCAAAAAACATTTTTTAAAAAGGATAATTTAAAAAATCTTTTTATTTGAAAATATAATTTTTATTAAATTTTTATTTAAAAAATATAAAATAAATAATATTTATACCATTAGAGCTCTTTATTTGAGGAGTTTGTTTTCCATTAGGATGACAGTTGGAAAACCAGAGGGAAGAAGTTCTTGAACATTAACAAAATCATTTGGTACAGAAAAAAATTTGAAATAATGAGCAAAGTTATTATTTCAAAATATAACCTTTTAGAGACATCCTGAAAAATGCCTTAATTAAAAATGCCTAATTGTAATTAGTAACTTTTGATTTACAAAGAACTGAGCAGTGACTTTTTCCCTTCAGTGTTACTAAAGCTATAGATCTTTAAAAAAGGATTTTTTAAAATTTATGTAACTTAAAATACAAAAGTCACCTACATCTTTTATAGTAAATGTTCCCATGAATCACTCCTTCCATTAATTGGCAGTTAATAGATTCTCATGGCTCCAACATTCATTAATATCCCCATTCAAAAAAGTAGCATTATCTTATACAGTTGCTTCAAATATGGACATATTCTTAAATTTTTCATGCTAAAACAGAAAAGCCCACAGCAAAATACATTAGATATTTTTATGTATGGTTTAAATTCATCTTCAAAGGAAATGAATGTTTAGAACCTAGTCTCAGTTCCTGATCACATGTCCTTAAAATCAGAGCTGAAAGAGGACTTAAAAAATATAAGTCTGTGGTACAAGGCCCAGGACCTATTCCTCTTACAGTTCAGGCATTAAAAGGACTGAAGTAATATAAATTAAGACATGAACCAGCAGCATCTTGGAAAATTTTATTGGACACATGAGTCTGTCGCGACCCCTCGCCGGCAAGGGAAAAACACGACACAGGATTCTTCTTTCAGCAGTTTATTCAGGCCTTGATTCAAGTATCATCTTCTAGTGACCCCCCGCCGAGCGCCCAAGCACAGCCTAATAAAGCCTCCCGCATACCAATCCCAAGCTGCCACGTGGATCTTTCTCATAGGGTGGTAAGGGATTGCGCGCCAATTCTCCATAAAAGGAGTTGTTTATCACAGGCCACAGTGGAAGCCGGCGCCATCTTCTAATGGCGGCCACGGTCTATAGGAACGGCTCACCACATGAGTCCAACTCTCATAGAAGTCAGATAAAATCTAGAACTATATCTAGGTAGGAGAGGAACAATTTTTTAAACATTATACAAGATCCAAAATATTAATCATTTTGCTAGTCCCCTTCCAAAAAAAATACACTGTAATCAACAGTCTCTCTCATCACTATGTGCCATTTATTCAGGAAAGCCTTACTGTTTTTCAACATTCAAAATAGATTATTGTTAGACTCCTTGGATAACTATGCTATCTTTCAAGATACTTTATGATTGATTAATTGATGCTATATTCCAGACAATGAAAAAATACATATGTTCATGTTTCTACTGCATGTCTTATTTATAAAAGATTATAATAATAAAGATCAAGAACTGAGTACAGTATTATGTAACAAAGGTTGTTGGGTTTTTTAACTAGAAAATATAAAGCAAGCCACTATGACAAGTATAATTACCCAGAGTCATTCTGTCTTGTGCTCCCAAGCAGTAGTGGGGAGAAGGATCAAAAAAAATGAACATTTTTTTCTTCAAGTTGCCTGCTAAACTTTAACATTAGATCAATAATGACAGGTTCCACAGTCGGTATAAATGGAATAAGAACCACTCAGACATTCCCAACACACAAAATCAAAAATCTGTTTCAACAAATTAAGACTGATTCTACCTCCTGGCTGCACCTAACCTCAAGAGCTGAAGAACGGTTTTAACCTAAGTGAGAGGCAGCTACTTCCTAAAATCAACTTGAAACTTTACTCCTGAAATTGGTCAGGTACATTACCAATAGCATGAAACAACAAGCTACTTAACTATCTCCCAAAAAAAGGAGGGGGGATTCCAAATTGTCCCAAGGATCCCCTCTTCTACCACTATACAATATGAATCAGCTTTGCCCCAAATAGATGTATCTCTCTGGGAATTGAGGGAGTACAGTTATTCATTAATTTTATGAACACTTATTGGGAATTTTCTAGATGCAAACATTTAGTTAATTCCCAATCATTCTAGTAGAGTAACTTCCCAAGTAAATTGACATGAAGCCCATGGCAAAGTATTATTTGCTTCTTACTGCTCAAGAAGATGCTCCTGAGTGAGCCAACTCAAAGAACTCTTTCTTGGTAGAAGCATATGAGAAAAGCAGCAGGTACAACAAGGAAACACCTGGTTTAAATCACAGGGTTGATCACAGGGCTTATCAAGATGAATTTCCCAGAGTAACTGTAAATTACATCCTGCATTCAAGTGTTCTCCTAAACCATGCCTGGGGACAATTTTCTTTATCACACCTGAAATAGTCTCTCTTGGGAATGAATGAATGGAACAGATTTTATATAACCATCTACTCTAAAAAAAGAAAAAGTACTTCCAAGAAGAGAAGTACCCAGCATTACATCACCAGAAGAAAGAAAAAGAATATATACTTGGTTTATAAATTATACACAAAAACAAGGAAGTAACCAACATAAGGAAAGAAGAGTCTTGCCTAGCATGTGTGAGGTACTGAATTCAATTCTTAGCACCACATAAAAATAAATAAATAAAGGCTGGGGATATAGCTCAGTTGGTAGAGTGTTTACCTTGCATGTACAAGGCCCTGGGTTCAATCCCTACCACCACAAAAAAATAGTTGAAGTAAATAAATAAAATAAAGCTATTGTGCCCATCTACTGCTTAAAAATATATTTTTTTAAAAAAAACTAGAGCAGAGAGGCTGAGATAATGATTGACATGAAGCATGAAGGGAGAGTCCATGTGTAAGTGATATGCTATTTCTTGACCTCAGTGGTAGTTACAATGGTGTTTTCTTTATAATAATTCATTAAACTATATTTTATTTACTACATATGTTCCATACATTTCCTAATAAAGAAATTTCTGTGTCTATACACTGATACTCACTGACTTCTGGTGTCTTTCACAGATCAACATCTATAATCAAACAGGACATTATTTCAGGAATAGAGGAAAAAATCTACCTACTGCTGTATAAATGTTAATTGCAATTATGAAGATGACTTAAAAACATATTTGGGGTGGCTGGGGATACAGCTCAGTAGGTAGAGTCTTGCCTTGCATGCACAAGGCCCTGGGTTCGATCCCCAGCACACACACACAAAAAAAAAATCTGGGTTTTAATTTGTCTTTGCACTATTGTTTGGTAATTGTGTGTGATTTTACAGCTCACAGACACATGAAAACCTTCAGCTTCCTCAGTAACTCCAGCACCATCACTGGCTTCATCCTCCTGGGCTTCCCTGGACCCAGGGAAAAGCAGATCTTCCTCTTCGTGCTCTTCTCCACTGTCTACCTCCTGACCCTCATGGGCAATGGTTCCATCATCTGTGCTGTGCGCTGGGATCAGAGACTCCACACCCCTATGTATATCCTGCTGGCCAACTTCTCCTTCCTAGAGATCTGGTATGTCACCTCTACAGTCCCCAACATGTTGGCCAACTTCCTGTCTGACACCAATGTCATCTCCTTCACTGGGTGCTTCCTGCAGTTCTATTTCTTCTTCTCCTTGGGTTCTACAGAATGCTTCTTTCTCGCAGTTATGGCATTTGATCGGTACCTTGCTATCTGCAGGCCCCTACGCTATCCAACCATTATGACGAGACATCTTTGCACCAATCTTGTGGTCAGCTGCTGGGTTCTTGGTTTTCTCTGGTTCTTGATTCCCATCATCATCATTTCCCAAATGTCCTTCTGTGGATCCAGGACTATTGACCACTTCCTCTGTGATCCAGGTCCTCTTCTAGCACTCACTTGCAAAAGAGCTCTTTTAATAGAACTTGTCTTCTCCTCCTTAAGTCCTCTGCCTCTTGTTATCCCCTTTCTCTTCATCATGGGGTCTTATATTCTTGTCCTCAGAGCTGTATTGAATGTCCCATCAGCAGCTGGAAAAAGAAAGGCCTTCTCCACCTGTGGGTCTCACCTGGCTGTGGTCTCACTCTTCTATGGCTCAGTACTGGTCATGTACGGAAGCCCAACTTCTGAGCATGAAGCTGGGATGCAGAAGACTGTGACTCTGTTTTATTCTGTTCTGACCCCACTCCTTAACCCTGTGATATATAGTCTTAGGAACAAAGACATGAAAAAAGCTCTGCAGAAATTTCTAGGAACATAAAAAGTATTAATCAAAAACACCCCTGAGCAATAAACTTGTACTTAACTTTTACAGATTTTTTAAAAATTTGTATTTATTCAGATAATATGCATATTAATATTGACCAAAACCTGTAACCCCTATGGCATGGTTCCATAAATCTTGACCATTTATTCTGTTGCTTAGCTGCTTTAATTTTTTTTACCAAATGCTAGACTTTGTATTTTAAACATGACTAAGGCAATGAACATAGTAACTCCAATCCTTATAACAAATAGAGTAGAAGCATATTGTTTGGATCCCATTTAAGGATTGTTCTTAGGTGTTCGTAAAATGAATTAGTTGAGGTCTTATGCCTAAATTATTCCCCTTACTCTAGGAACATAGCTTTTCTGGGATTCAGCTACAAGCCTGGACTGTTTCCACAGCGGCAAGCTTAGCAGGTTTTGACCACAATTTCTGTACTCCTTGAACTCTCTGACTCCCAAAAGTGCTTGGCTGTTTAGACTCTCACCTCTAGCTTCTACCAAATTTCTTGAAATCTCATTTTATATATAAACAACATAGAAATCCAAAAAGCCCTTGAAGGAAGATTGTATCATGTTTTGGGCCTTACTTCTCTGTAATTCTCTCTAGGATTTCTATCTCAAGCCCCAACTGCTTTGACAGCTCTGGATTCCAAATGCTCTGGATCTTTTGGTTTCGGAGAAACTATTGCTCTCTCCTCAACATTTATTCCTCTCATTCTTTCCCATGTGGCTTCACCTCTGCATGTGCCCCTTCCCCAGTGAACTGTTGGCATGAGCTGTCCATCAGCTGTGTGTAGACTGTTGCACATAGTAGCCTCCTGAGGAGATAGGTCTGGCATTGCAAACTCCCTGTAACACCCTCTCAGGGATTGATCATCTGATGCAGGTGAACCTCCCCCTCAAGTTCTGCCTAAGATCCCACACAGCACCTGAGATTGGTATGACCTGCCAAGATGTAAATGAATCTGCTGACCACAATGACATCACAAAGCAGGACTCCCCCTTGAAACCTTACCTCTGCCTTTGATGTAGCCTCTTAAATAAACAACCAGAGCCATTTTGTTTTTGTCTAGTTCAAGAACCCATGTGCACTAGATCTATCAGGGGCTTCACTTTTGTAAATATATTTCTGAGTGTTTATGTTTTATTATTTATTAATTATTTGAGACATTAAGACTTAGGGTGGCTTAATTATTTGTGATATTAAGATTTAGAGTGGCTATTTAGGGTGGCTCAAATTCCTCTAGGCAGAAGGACCCTCCAATGAGACTCTGGCCGTCTTCCCCTTGAAAAACTGTCACATATCCTCAGGAGGAAACATGTGGCAAATATGGAACTCACCCACTTGTTTTTTCTATTTGCCTTGGAATTCTAGACCCTGAAGTCTTGATTGATTGCCTCATATATTTTGACCAGATTTTACAGTTATTTTTGATGGCAACTACTTTTGGTTTAATACATGCTGCTCAGTCATGAATATAACCAGAAAGTCTTTTATATCTAAATTCCACAATTCTTACTTCTTCACTCACTCTCAAATGCACTTACTTTTAGTAAGTGCAAAAACCACAAATTAGAGATAGATGGACAGATGGAGGTGGCCTAACCCTGTCTGGGCTATGGATCTGCTTTCAATTTCATTGTAACCAGCTCCAAATACCTGAGGACTCCTCCCCTGCAAGCAAAAGGGGAAAGGTTGCTCACCATAACGTGGGAGGTAAAACCAGGACCACAGAAACATATCCTGGCCATTTGTTTTAATGAGAGGCACCTGACAATAATGGATCAGTACAAACATTTACTTGGGATTTATACTGGAAATTTGAACAGGTTCTCCCTAAACTTCCTCCTAGACCTCAAGTGAAATGCCTTCACCTTTTAATACCTATTTTTCAGTTGAAGAAAATGAAAATTGGGAATCAGAGATTGATTTGCCAAGGATAATAATCTTAATTATAAAAAAATAAAATTACCTTTCTAGCACTCTTTTTTATTAGTTCTTTTCACATATTTATATGTTTACCTATTATGTGCCAGATACTCTTCCTGGTAACAGTGGTATAATAACTTGAATGAATGGAAAAAAAATTGACACATAAATAAAAAGACTGCTGGTGTGTCACCTGGCCACCACTCTTTTCAATAGCCTTAGTTGCTTTATCTTGGTAACTAACTTTATATTTCTATCATTAGTACTTCTCACTCATTCGCCGGTCATATCACTATAATTTTGCTTTCTTAATGCACATAAAGAACAACATTTGAATAAGAAAGTGAACAAAAAAATATATAAACAGTATCAAAAAATATTCTTAAACATATGGACTGAGCACTCATTCATAAAAAGAGAAAAGCAAAAAAGCTTATAATGTTGTCTGATTTCAACCTATCAGACTGACAAAGATCAAAAAGTTTGATAATACACTGTATGGTTGATTGTACTGAAATGGGTTCTCTCACACTTAACAGAAGAAGTGTAAGTTTTACAAACTCTAGGATTGACTAGGTAACTTTAACCCAGCAATTCAATTTTTTGGATATTTAGCCTGTTGATATTCTCATCCATGTGAGAAATGACAAAAGAACAAGAATATTTGTTGTAGCACTGTTGTAAGAGTAAAATGTTGACAAAGCTTCAGTTCCCATTAAAAGAGGACTAGTTAAATAAGTTATGGTCAGTCACACAATGGAATACCATATCTTCAATTTTATAAAATATGAACCAGTTCCATTTGTAATATCTTCAAGATATATTAAGTGAAAAAAGCAAAGGAAGCAGTAGTATATTGCAGCTACCTGTCACCTAAACATGTTTGATATCCAAGGAGATGGAGACCAAAAGAATTGATAACTTGGGTTACTTTAGGCAAGGAGAATTTGGTATTTAAAGAACAAGGGAGACAAAAGCACTATGCAAATTTTACTCAATTCTGATTAAGGTTCTGATGATGTTCTTCAAGGAAATAGAAAAAGCAGTCAGGAAATTCATTCGGAAAAATAAGAGGTCCAGAATAGCCAAAGCAATCCTTGGCAAAAAAAAAAAAGTGAAGCAAGAGGCATCACAATGCCAGACCTTAAATTATACAGAGCTATAGTGAAAAAAAACAGCATGGTATTGGCACCAAAAAAGACATGAAGACTAATGGAACAGAAGGCACAAAACCAAACCCACATAAATATAATTATCTCATACTAGATCAAGGAACCAAAAATATACATTGGAGAAAAGATAGCCTGTTCAACAAATGCTGCTGGGAAAACTGGAAATCCATATGTAATAAAATAAAATTAGGCCCACATCTCTCACCCTGCACAAAACTCAATTCTAAGTGAATCAAGTAGCTAGGCATTAGACCAGAGACCCTGCACCTACTAGGAGAAAAACTAGGCCCCAAACTCCATCATGTTGACTTAGGAACCAAATTCCTCAACTAGACTCATAAAGCACAATAAGTAAAATCAAGAATCAATAGATGGGATGGATTCAAACTAAAAAGCTTTTTCACAGCAAAGGAAACAATCAAGAAAGTAAAGATAAAGCCTACAGAATGGGAGAAAATCTTTGCTACTTGCACCTCAGATATAGCACTAATCTCCAGGATATATAAAGAACACAAAAAACTTAATACCAAATAAAATAAAATAAACCAATCAATAAATGGGCAAAGGAACTAAACAGACACTTCACAGAAGAAGAAATACAATAGACAACAAATATATAAAACAGTGTTCAACATCACTAGCTATTAGAGAAATGCTACATTAAAACTACACTGAGATTCCATCTCACTCTAGACAGAATGGCAAATATCAATAATATGAGTAATAATAAATGTTGACAAGGATGTGGGGAAAAAAGGTACACTCATACTTTGTTAGTGGGACTGCAAACTGGTACAACCACTCTGGAAAGCAGTATGGAAATTCCTCAGAAAATTGGAATGGAACCACCATCTGATCCAGTTATCCCACTTTTCTGGTTATACCCAAAGAACTTAAAATGAGCATCATATAGTGACTCAGACACATCAATGTCCATAGCAGCTCAATTCACAATAGCTAAGCTATGGAATCAACCTAGGTGCCCTTCAATAGATGAATGGATAAAGAAAATGTGGTACATGTAACAATGTAATATTACTCAGCCTTAAAGAAGAATGAAATTATGGCATTTTCCAGTAAATGGATAGAATTGGAGACTACCATGCTAAGTAAAATAAGCCAATCCCCCACAAAAAAATGCTGAATGTTCTCTCTGATATGTAGATGCTGACTCACAATAGGCAGGGGGAGGGAAGAGTGGAGGTTCTACAGATTGGACAGGGAGGATGGGGGGAAGGAAGAAGGGATGGAATGAGAAAGACAGTAGAATGAATAGATCATAAATTTTCTATGTTCATATATGAATACACAACCAGTGTAACTTCACATCATGTACAACCACAAGAATGGGAAGTTGTACTCCATATATGTATGATATATCAAAATACAATCTATTGCCATGTATAATTAAAAAGAACAACAACAAAAAAAGGAGGAGCTCTGCTTCCCTGTTACTATGTCCTCAGATGCTTTCCTGAGTCAAGCCCTTCTGCCATGATATTCAACCTGACCTTGGCCCCAGAGTTATGAAGTCAGCCCTTCATGAACTAAACATTTGAAATAATGAGCTAAAATAAACTTTCCTGCTCTATGTTGTTCTTGTCAGGTCTTTTGGTCCAGCAATGCATAAGCTAACTAAAACAGAAATTGGTACCAAGAAGTAGGGTCATTGCTATGACTAACCTGATCATGGTCTGAAGCCTTTAGAGCTGTTTTACTGGAGATGAATAAGATGAATAAGAGACCTCTTGAAAGGTTTAGAGACACAAACTGAAAAATTTACAAGGCCATAAGCAGAGCTTAATGGGAGATTCTGGTGGGAGCTCAGCAGACCAGAATGCCAATAGGACTGCAGAAGTTTCAGAGGAGAAGAATTCTATTGGAAACTGA